CAAGAGTCAGATGCTCAACCAACTGAGTCACCCAGGTGCCCCAAAGTCTCTCTTACAATCTTAAAAAGAGTAAGCTGAAGAAAAGAGGATTTTCTTAATAACACTGGGCCATCACTATGAACATGTGTTACTGAACTGTGACATGGGGAAGAGATGACAGGACACTCAGGGGCACAAGTCCGGGTCTCTGGGCTCTGCCACCTGTACCCACGCTTCCCTGGGTCCTCTCTCACCACCAGGCTGGTGGCTCATGTGCGCCGAAGCACTTGTCTGCAGGCCCTTGTCTTTTGTTAATGTCTGCCAGCTCACTGTGCCCTCGTGTAGTGGATGGCCTGAGAACTGTGTGCAAAAGAGTACATCGGCTTGAGTGAGGGGCCAGCACATGGCCGGGGCATAACACACTTGGCTTTATGAGTTTTGCAACATTAGTTTTGGCTGCTTAGAGTTAATTTTTTTTATTACTTCCAGGATCTCAGCAGTGTTCCAGATTTTTCAGATACCTGAGTTCTAAACAGCTGAAGTGCTGAATGATTACATTAAAATATATACAAACACACATGCATTTTTAATTATTATAATAATTTATACTCCCTGAAAAACACAAACAATATAAACTACATAAAAAATAAAAATCACTCACAAGCCTATTGCCTATCGAATAATTTTGAGTATTTTGTTTTTAGGCTTTGATTTTACATATATGTGTTTAATTAAAAAAGAGAAAAAAACCCTGAAGTTATGTTTGTTGTATATATACAATTCTGTATCCCACCACTGGAATTTATTAAAATCTTTTGGTAAATAACTCTAAATGGCTGCTCCACTGAATGGAATATTATTCTCTTATTTGTGTAGAGTTAGGATATTTCTAAAATTTTACTATTAAAAAACAAATTGCTGTGAGCATCTCTGTATAAAAACACAATGCATAGATTTTTAATAAAACAATTTAGATTTTTGCATTTGATAGAAAGTTTCCAAAGGGAACCTTCATTACACATTTTAGTACAAGCTAAATTCTTACAATTAAAAAAAAGGACATTTTACTTCTATTATTCCCTACACAATAGAAAGGTAGCAATTAAAGAGGCAAATGATAGATCAAAAAAGAATGCCTGGGAGGTTTCAAGATTCTTTTTGTCTGATTATAGTGCGGGTTTACGACGATTTCATCGAGACGGAAGAAGAGGTCAGAATGCATAGACTTCCTAATTACATGACCAATTTTTAAAGGCTGTTGACAATTTACTTATCAAATGAAATTAGTGCATTATTTGAATTGTGATGAATAACTTACGGGGAATTTTTCCTCTTAGAAACAACCAGAGTAAACCTGGATATTGGGGGAGGGGTGGATGCAGCAGGAAACATGGTA